CCGGGGGGTATAACCAGAGAGCAGCATCCATATTTGAGTCATTTCAATGAAATTCATGTATAACCAGAGAGCAGCATCCATATTTGAGTCATTTCAATGAAATTCATGTATAACCAGAGAGCAGCATCCATATTTGAGACATTTCAATGAAATTCATGTATAACCAGAGAGCAGCATCTGTATTTGAGTCATTTCAATGAATTTCATGTATAACCAGAGAGCAGCATCAATACTTGAGTCATTTCAATGAAATTCATGTATAACCAGAGAGCAGCATCAATATTTGAGTCATTTCAATGAAATTCATGTATAACTAGAGAGCAGCATCATTATTTGAGAATTCACTTGGATCGTCATATTCTGGAGAATCTTTGGAGAATCAACATGTGTTGGAACACTATTCAAAAGCATTGGCAAATGAAACACATTTCCCACAATTGCGGAAAATTCAGACCAAATAAAATATACACATAATGGTCACAGAAACCCAATAGTGAAGCTTTATGAATGATCACAGAGTTTTATCAAGGCATGTCAAATATATTAGACAGACAAACCCTTGTTCTAGTATGCACACAGACTTAGTAATAGTACTTGGGAATAGAGATGTGTTAAAACAAACCCACTAGAGAACTGTGTTGACTGTTGAGAGACAGCTGTCCACAGTTGAGTAATTACATAAAACAAATGGTACTATTCTATAAATACCTGTTGCTTACAGTGGCTGTACAGGGCATAGAATAATTAGAGCAAACATGTAGTGTATGACAAGACATGTATCCACTTACAGAGAGTCTAAATACAGGCAAGGTCTAATATTACCTTGTTTTTTTTTTTCTTCAGTGAACCACCCTTAAGAATGTTAAACATAGTCTTCTCATATCGTGGGGAAACATCCATCAACGCGCAGGCACTGACCGACAAATTATCCAGGCACTGAAGCACCCCGCCTACCATTTTACTGGGCAGACAAGTGTTAATGATGTGTGGTAATTAATAGGTTGATGTTGTGAACTAATTACCACGTTAACAGTTCTATGGTGACAAGCAGAATACTAATTAACGATAGGCACCATGTCGAGGTTGAAAAGACAATCATAAATACAAAAGACAATAAAACGCAGTTCATTTATATACAAGTACAACGGTAGAATTGAAATGAATTTAGACAATTTAACTATTTTATCATGAAATTACAAAAACATATAATTATCAATGTTGTTTTGCTAATCAATTATTTTTTGCAATTTAAAATACTGAATCACTTGAATATGTGATGTGTAAACCACAATGTCAAATATGGGAAATGTTGAAATTCGTTTTACACTGGAATAGTCAAAGAGAAATGAAGAACAAAATGGCTGGCCAATTCTCACTTGAAAGTAACATGGTGATGACTCCTAAATTTATTAATTTTGGGCTCATAATTAGCCAGAACAACACATATCTATTCATTTTTGAGTAGGTTTATGGAAACTGTGACAATGTGCAAAGTATTTGTACATGTATGCATGATAACATGTACGAATTCAAATCAGCATGACACAAATAATAAGATTTACGACAAGGCCAAACATATACCTGTAGAGAAAATGAACGTTGCAATAGAAACTAATGACCTCTATTCACCTTTGCCTCTTCAGACTTGTTTACAAACAAACAGACAGAATAAGAAATGAATAAATTATGGTTCTATAATATATTCAGTCATGCCTATGTACAGAAGGTCCTATTATTCAGAAATGTTAGAAAAATAAAATCATAAAATTGGATCCCTCCCAAATTTGCACAAAACTACATTCGGATTCAGTATATGATTTATTTAATAGGTCATATGAAACTGTTGACAACAGGAATCTTTGTATTACTTCCTTACAAAAGTACATCCTGTAGTACAATCTATCAGATTCTATAAATTTATTATTTTGACAAAATCCATAATATATATTACATGTATTTAATATATTAATTTATGTGAGTGAGTTCTGAAAAGCATAAACAAGTTGAGGAGGGTGTAAAAAATTGTTGATTCTAAAAAAAGGGTTGTCATTGATATAAATGTTACCGTTAACATCATGCTACTGTATAATGTAAAATTCTTACTTAGCGGGAAAGAACGTTTTGGGTGTTTTGTGCGGGATTTATTTTCACTGATTTTTGACAAGTTGAATATAAAATATAGGAAAAAAAGGTTTTTATTTTCAGTGAATCATTCCTTTAGCTATAATGATGAAAATTAAATCCAAGCAAAAATATTTTACAGTAACATGCAAAGACAACCTACTGCAAAGCATACATTCTATGTTTAACAGGGTATTTGTGACTACGGATACATTTTTATAGAATCTCATACAAAATATCACTGCTTATAAAATGTCACAATTTTTCCCTGGCTGGTGAAATTTAATCTGTTTTCAGTACATCTGCATGGTATTATAAAATTATAATGCCATGCATACAAGAGCAGCAGATAGTTGCAGAAACACTAGACAGCTATGTCTGGTTAAAGGGGCTTACTTTCTGGATTAAAATAACAATGGATAACAAAAGATAGATTAACATTGTAAGCAACATAAACAATAGTGTCCCATGATTCTTTGGTGCAATTGATGGGATTGAGTGGTTCCCCTTTAAGGTGTTCATTACAAAAAACACAGATTAGGATAGGATAGGATATTTTATTTGGAACGTACACAAAAACAATGCTTGAGTAAAGTCCAACATAAGAAAGATTAGTGTCTGTCTTGGAACCACAAAGATGACTCTACTAACACCATTATGTCTAGTCAGCATAAATTACA